TGAAATGTGACAAAGGAACACAACCTAGCGTAAAATAGACCGAAGTATGATAAACACCAAGCTAAACCATCAAGAAATTAGGGGTAAAAACATGTGCAAATTTAGTGTTATCATAAATGAATTTTTTTGCTTTCGTTGGAAATTTCGAAGGAGTAGTTCAAACTCGAACCACTTCACCCCACATGGTTCGAGGCTGACATCATTGATCCACGTCTACATCGAGTCACTTACCCTCGAACCACTCCAAACTTGTGCATTTTCGAAAATTTGTTTACAAGTGTTGTAGTTTAGAAATTTTTTTAATTTTATATGTATTTAGATAATTTTTCCGAAATAAACAGACAAAGGTCAGTCGCAATGGCCCAAAGCCCGTAAAGCTCTTTGGTGGCAAAAGTTGTGGAGGAAGGATCCTGTGACTAAGGGGGGGAGGTGCTTAGTCTCTTGACTAAGCCCCTTCCAGCTGCCCTTAGATCTGGAGACATCAATCTGCGGTTAAAAAGTGGGAAGGGTTATTTAATTAATTCGACAGGAGTAGTTTCAGTATCATGAAAAATTACAAAGTATACGAACTGGACTTACAATCAGTACAAACCATACAAACATACGAACAATACAAACTAGAGAAACAAAACATACAAACAGATTTACAAAAAATATTAACTAGACCGACAAACAATACAAAACATACAAAAATGAAAAAACAAACGGGTTGACTTTGGAGGTTTCAATCCTATATAGAGTGGCTCCGTACCAAAGTCAACCTGGTTGTTTTGTAGACATACAAACATTACAAACATGATGGACAAACATTACAAACTAGACCTACAAACCATACAAAATGGAAAAACACCGAGTTGACTTTAGAGGTTTCATCTCTATATAGAGAAGTTCCATCCAAAAGTCAACCATATTATTTTTTAGACATAAAAAACATTACAAACATAGTTGACAAAAATTACAAATATGGTGCGCAAAAATAACAAAGCTTACAAACATTACAAAATAACAAAGCTTACAAACATTACAAAAGACACAGACAAATAGTACAAGCCGGGGGGAAATGGAATGGAAGGGGCCAAATGGGGGAAAATGAAATGGTGGAAGGGTAAAGTTCCCAGCCCAGTAGGAGGAACAGAGCTGGTTAACGCAAGGGTGCAACGCTGGGAAATCTCTAGTCGACGGTGCGGGGAAAAGTCCCATTAAACGGACGGCGGGGAGGGATACGGACCAGCAATATATTTTTTATTATAATTTTCAAATAAATAAATTGTATAATTAATAGGATGTCATTCATTAAATTGGATTAATTTGAGCCATTAGATTTTAATGAGATGCAAGGGCTGAGATTCATTTATTCATGTGACTAAGGGAGTCACCTCATCTTAGCCCCAAAGCTATGGGAAAGAAGTGATATGTGCCATCTATTTTTATATTAGCTTCTTTTTGTTTTGTTTTATTATTATTTATTTATTTTTGTAAAAAGTTTTGTTTTATTGAGTGGCGTTGGGGAGCGGATACTATAACAACAACTCCTTTGTTGTTATAGTCACAACATAATTAATTAGGGGAAAAACGTAAAATCATAAAAAGTATCACATTAAAAACTAAAATCCAAAAATAAAACCCTATCTCAGCGATGGTATCTCTTCATCTCCAGATATCTTCCCTCTCAGCAGCTTCTCCTCCACCGTCGGGAACGCCGCGAACAGCAGCCGGTTCGCCTGGTCGACCCTCCTCGTGGCCCCGGCGGCGGCAACGAAGGCGCTGCTAACTTTGGTGGCCTCTTGCTGGGCGAAGTCGCGAACCCAAAGAATGAGAACGGCGGAGGGAGGAAAGAGAACGGCGACGCGCGGCGGCAAGAAGGAACGAGCACGACCACAATCGCCGACTATGGCTTCGAAGGACACACATCCTAGGTTTCTTCTCCCCGTCAATTCGCCCGAATCTTCCCCCCCCCCCCCCCCCCCCCCCCCCCCCCATGGGGTCCAAAATTTTGGAGATCAGCTTGATCTCCGCCCAAGGCTTGAAGTCGCCGTCCGCCAAGCTCCGCCAATTGCAGATCTACACCGTCGTCTAGATCAACTCCGCCGCCAAGCTCCGCACCCAGGTCGATCGCGTCGGCGGGGCCAACCCTACCTGGAATGAAAAATTCCACTTCCAAGTCTCCCCCAATTTCCTCTCAAACGACACCTCAGGGGTCTCCGTCGAGATCTATGCCTCCACGATTCCCTCGTAGGCATCGTCCGCTTCTAGTGAAAGATGAGTTATTTTCTATGCCAATGGCAAAGATGGGTTTCTAGTGAAACTTGATAATTTTCTATGGATCCCAATTTGCAATAGTGTTAAATCTCGTTCTGATGCTGTAACTTCGGTGTGTATCTCCTTGATAGGTTTTGTGTTTTGGAATTTTATTACTACGACGGCTGGTTTTTTAATATTTGGTTGAATTTTGATAACTGAGCGTATGGATTATACAACAGTATATTTCCAACTATTATGCAATTCACGCACCAAAAACCTCATAATGCAAGCAACAAACGCGATAAAACAAATCACAAAAAACACACAAGAAATCTTCTAATGGAAACAACAAATCTCCTAAAACATACCAGAAATCACATAAAGTAAACAACAAATATTTCTAAAGTACCCCAAAAACATCCTAATACAAACCACAAACACGGCAAAGCAAACCACAAAAACAAACCAGAAACGTCCTAATGCAGACCACAAATATATTAAAACAAACGAGAAACCTCACAAAGCAAACCACAGAATTTTCAAAAATATACCAAAAACCTCATAATGCGAACCACAAACACGATAAAGAAAACCACAAAAACAAACCAGAAACGTCCTAATACAGACAAAAAATCTATTAAAACAAACCAGAAAGCCCGCAAAGCAAACCACAAATTTTTGAAAGCAAACCAGAAACTTCATAATTCAAACCACAAACACGATAAAGCAAACCACAAAAGGCATACAAAAATATGAGAACCCAAACCATAAATCTCACAATGCACACCACAATATCTGGTGGTCGTTGACTAGTTCGTTGACCTTTGACCAAACTCCGACAACCGTCAGTGAGCAGATTCCGGCGCTGATAGGCATATTCCGGCCCCGATGACTAGATTCCGACGCCCGTAAGCATATTCCGGCGACAAATAGCATATTCCGGTGACCAGAGACCAATTACCGGCGACCGGTGGCCAAATTTCGACGACCAAAATTTTGGGCCGAAAATAAAAAAGGGTTAATACCTTAATTTGGCCCGAATTATACACAAGCTTTCTACTTTGGCCCGTGGTTTTGAAAATTTTGAGCGACCGGTGGCCGAATTCCGGCAACCAAAATTTTGGGCCGAAAAATAAAAAAGGGTTAATACCTTAATTTGGCCCGAATTATACACAAATTTTCTACTTGGGCCCGTGGTTTTGAAAATTGCTCTTCTGGCCTGAACTATGCACCATACTTCCTGATTTGGCCCGAAGGCAGGTATGACCGTTAAATTGGACGGTCAATAGAGTTGACCGTTAGTCAATGGCCAACTCACTTGGCCACGTCAGCGAGCAGATAATAAAAAAAATATTTTTTGAATTTCTGTATTTTTTTCCTTTCTTATAATAATAATATTTTATTTCCTTTCTTATAAAAATAAATAATTTCAAAAAAATCAATATTTTATTTCCGCCTCGCTGATGTGGCCAAGTGAGCTGGCCAATAACTAACGGTCAAACCCGCCTCCATACCAAATAAGGAAGTATGGTATATAGTTCAGGCCAGAAGAGCAATTTTCGAAACCACGGACCAAAGTAGAAAGTTTGTGTATAGTTCGAGTCAAACTAAAATATTAACCCTTGAATTTACACACCTACTACGTGGCATTTGTATGTAATTTTTTAATCCTTGAATAGTTTTGTACTAAAGTCAATCTTAGGCGCTAAGGAAGGAATATGAAACAGAGCTAAGGAAAGCAAGCAGTCAACGTCGCAAGCTGGGGCCCCGACAAACCGCACTTGCCACTTCCAACAACACCAATTCCAAATTTCCAGTCCACCTTCACGAATTCCACTTCAAACTTAACCACAATAAAAAAAGCCCACACACCATCACCATCACCATCACCATCACTCCCTCTTTTGTGATACTACTCATTAATTCTACTCAAATCTTAATTATCAAAAGTGATTCAAATTCAATCATGGTTGTTGGTTTATTTTTCCTCTCCACAAGATGTGTCGTACCAAATTTGAAACTCGGATTATAGTTAGGGAGGGCAATTCAGTTGAGTTAACCAAATTGAAAGCTATTAGAAATCGAAAACTGAATTAGCCAATTGTTCAAAACCGAAACCGTTAAGAGCTTGCCGCGGAAAATTGATAAGTGCTTACCGATTTGGTGTTCGGTCAAAATAACCGAAAATCGATAAGCGGTTACTGATTTTGATTTCAGTCAATATACCAAAAAATATAAACCGAGCCTTTGATTTTGCTAAGCCTCATTGGATTTTATCAGTTTTTTTATTTTAATCGAAACCGCTAAAAACTTATAAGATTTTACCCATTAAAAAGAACCGATAAGTCTCTAAAATCGGTTGAGTTTCTGTTCAATTTGAATCGCCACCCCCGATTTTAGTGTTAATGTTGTGATTCTCGTATATTCCCCTATGTCAATCCTTTAGAATTTCTGTGAACCGTTTATCAAATACATCTCAGTAACTTGAAAAAATCCCAACAAAACTAGCTTAATCACTATGATCCGTGAGGTAGTATGGATTGGTGTGTGTGGTCTTGAGCTCTAAAGTCTATACTCTATACTCATTTCGGGTTGTGGAACAATTGCAGGTAAGAAAATGTTGAATGTGATGTAAATCTCGTGGGTAGAATGATGATCATGGATCTAGCTATCTCCAGTTGTATATGCAAGTGAAATCTTGGGTAACATCAATACTTAATAATCATAAATTCAATAATATGTATATCAAGCAAATTGAATTTTTTTATCCAAATTTATTTTGACATTTTCCATAAACTAAATAGTAATATTTGGTAAAAATCTAAGAGAGTTTGGTGTTTAGAACAACCACATGCATCCAGGCTGCTTTCTTAGGAAGAAAAAAAGAAGCAATAGTCTCCAGAAGGGACTTGCAGCAATTAGCCCTGTAATGCTCTCTCCCCACTACTTTACAAAGGCATACCTTTGGCAACAAACTGATTTCAAGCTTTACAAGAAACAAGTGATTGGATCTCAAGTTGCCTTCGCCTGTTAACTCTTGCAATGAAGTCCTCTATCCTTCTATTCAGCTCATCCCCTCCTCCCTTTGCTTCAACTTCTTCAACTGCTGCCTCTATTTTCTCTTCGACTTGCTCCTCCGCTTCCTCTCCATTCTTAGCATCTTCATTCACCAGTACTTGTTGTTCTTCTTGTTCGCTTATCTCTCTCTCGATCGATCCTATCTCACCTGAAGTGATAATCTCACTTCCAATTTGGCTCTCTACAACTTCGTCCTCAACTAACGGAGTTTCATCATCTACAATAATGATCCCTGTTTCACCATCCAACGACGTAGCTTTGTCAACAACAACAATCTGTCTCTCCACCTCGCATGCTACTTCAACAAGGTTTTCTTGACTCGGGGTCGAGGATGATGTGATTGATTTCCTTTGAGCTCTAGCTCTGCGGATGTACTCGTCGTAGACATCACTCGTTGAAGAAGATCTCCGCGAATTGTTGTAGCCACTGAGCCTTGATTCTCCCACCAAGAACACCACAATGACATTGACCAAGAGAAAAACACACTTGGGACTAGAAAGGCAGGACAAGATGTAGGGGAGATGGAGGAAAAAGAGTTGCTTTGTGGGTGAAAACACTAGAAGGGTACAACCCACTATCATCAATGAATTCATAACAAGATTTTGAAGAAGTGCACTGTGAGCTGCCTTCCTCTTCCTCATGGATTGAACCCTTTTGGCCTTGTTGAATGTAACCATTGTATCCATTGGCTTGATGGGTTTTGATCAATTCCTTGGAGGGAAGAAAAAAAAAACTTCAGCCAACTTGGTAATTTTGGGATTTAGAATCGCACATTGAACGACTGAAAGAGTGGAATTCATGGGAATGGGTATTTATAGAGAATAGGATTGGGGGGAGTGGATTGTGTAGTGGATGGCATTGTGATATTTGTAGTTATTTTCTTTGGGTGGGATTCTAAAGATGGTGACTTTATCTTGATGTGTTGTTGGCTTTTTCTGCGTTACTTTGTTGGGTGCATCTAAGGAAAAGCTAGTGCTTTTGAGTGAAAAGTCCAAATGGCAGGTTTAGAGTGGGAGAGATATGTGGTTATAACTTTTTATTTATAGGCTGCTTTTGTATTTTTTTTTTCAGGCCCATTCCTACCTTCTCCTCCACATTTTATTGCCTTTTCCAAGATTCCTGTTCCTTTTAGGTGTTTGATGGTTTTGAAGTTCACCACCATCTCCCAAAACAACATTCCCTACGGTTTCCACACCAGTTCTCTGGGAACGGCTACGGTGCTAATTGTACAATAGTTAGCACTATCCTAGTCAAGGGAAAAACTACTACTAGTTTGAATCAGTAGTGATTTAACTTAGATGTTGTATTGATTTTATAATAATCCATAGTGATTTTTGCTAGTTATCACGATGCTAACCCCTATAAAAGTTAGCACCTAATCCCATCCCCAGTTCTCTACTTCTAAAACGTTCTACCAATTAGTACGTTAATTTTTTGAAAACTTGCACTTTATAGACATAATTAATTGAATGCTCCTTTCGTGTTAGCTCTACGATTGATTTGGATCTTAACATATGTTGTATAAGAATTATATAATATTCATGTTGACATGGTCTCTGATTTCAACTACTTGAAATTTTGAACGAATTAGTACATGAGTATTTGATCGTGATGCTTCTTAACGTATATGGCTAATGAGCCCAGTGATTATCTAGAATTTCATTCCTATATATGATGTTTGTAACATGAACAGAAGCAGCAATTAAGAAAACACAAAAACTCGCTCTTTCTCTCCCTATATGTAAAGTGCAAAATTTCTTACAACTGCATCTGCAGAGTTCTTACTACCCCATATTTTTTTAAAACTACAAATGTTTGGCATTCACCGTTTTTGACAAACGCAGTAAATATAATCACCGCTTTTGTCAAAAACGGTGAATATTTCACCGTTTTAAAAAAACGATGACGTGTTCACTGTCTTTGTATAAAGCGGTGAAGTGTTCACCGCGTTTAACAAAAACGGTGAAGACATCATTGTTTATGTCAAAAGCGGTGAAAACGACACCGTCTTAGGGCAAAGCGGGGAACATATTCACCGTCTCAGGCTAAGACGGTGATTATTTTCCACGTTTCCCAACCCTGGTAGGTGAAAATTAGGTCACAACTACCTAATGTTCACAGTTTGAGACAAACGCGGTGATGTTGTTCACCGTTTGAAACAAAGGCGGTGAATGCTGGCCGATTTTCCTTTAAATACCACTCCCACGTGCAGTTGTAAAAACATAATCTCTCCCCCCTCTTCAAATTTCAGTAGCCAAAACCGAGCAACATACACAGACAAGGAATTTTCAGTATGATTTAATTTTTGTATTAATTCCTAATGGTTGTTTTTAGTAGTTATATTGTTATGTTATGAATTACTTATCGTAGCAAATATGGCCGATGTTATGAATTAATGGAATTATGCTAATAATTACTTATTGTAAATTGTAGATATGGGTAAATTCAAGAAGTTTCAGCTTATTATTCGGTGGAATGGAAGAGTTACAAACTCTGACATAGGGATTGATTATGAGGATGGTGTATCCACTAAGCTGAAAATTGAGTCGCGATTCAATTTTCAAGAGCTCTGTGATATTTGTGCATACAGGGTTTGTACGAGCGGACAGACGAGACTTGGTAAAATTAGTTACCGGTATCCATGTATGAGTACTGGCAGACTTGTGTACCAAGAAGTTGTCATAAACGATGATGACGCGGTTACGATGATGTTACAGTTCCTAAGCGATAACGGGATGCGGCAAGCAGAGGTGTATGTTGAGACCGAGGCGGTCGGTGAAACTCATTCTCACCAGTATTCTTATGATGATGGTTTTGCAGGAGGGTACGGATGGGTGGTAGTTCAAGCAACTACGAAGGAGGTGGTTATACAGGAGGTTACGGAGAGGGTGGTAGTTCAATCAACTACGGTGGAGGTAGTAGTGCAGGATGGGTGCCATCGGAAGAATACTCGCAACAGGATCAACCTGCCGATGGCCTTCAATGGCCAGATTGGGGGCCTGAGTGGGCTGAAATCGAAAATACCATTCGAGCAGGGCATACTTCACATGAGCGAGAAGACGATGTTGGTGATGGTGGTCATGTTGATCCTTCTGGGCCGAGATATCCATTCGACTCGAGCGACGATGATACTGAGGAAGATTTGAGATCAGTGAGTGAGGAGGAAGATACTGATGATAATGACAACGAGGCGGTATTTCGTGAGGCACCGACGCCATACTACACACAGGTTCCAACTCAATTTTCTCATAGTCAGAATGATGCCCCCGACTTTGTCCCTATGCCAGTGTATAATCCGACGACCAATTTGGAGGTGGGTATGGCGTTCTCATTGAAGGACGCTGTGTAGGATGCCTTTACCGAAGAGGCCTTGAGGTGCAATTTCGAGTGGAAGGTAAAATATTCTGATAGTAACAATTACATGTCATATGCAAGAATGATGCAGAGGGCTGTACGTGGCAACTGCGGGCCGCAAATATGAAGAGAAAGGGTGCCTGGGTGATTCGAAAAGCTTAGACCAACCACACTTTCTCCTCGTCCATACGTTCCCAGGGTCACAGGCAACTTAAAGCAAAGAAAATTGGGAGAACTATTAAACACCTTATCGAAGCACAACCAGATATCAAGGTCAAAGCTATCATGGCCGAGGTGAAGGATCGACATTCTTACACGATAAGGTACAAAAAAGCATGACATGGAAAGCAGAAAGCCATGGCTGAGGTGTATGGTGATTCGGAGGATTCGAATGCTTTACTCCCTAGACTTATGGCCGCAATGGAGGAGTCCAACCCTAGGACTGTTTTCGTGCCAGTATACAACAATGTATACACTGAGGATCAAGTTCGAGTACAGGAGAAGTTGATGTTTCACCGTCTTTTTGGGCTTTCAAACCATGCATTAATGGGTTTGCGTTCTGCATACCGGTTATTCAGGTATTTTAATACATGTTTACCATTTGAAATGTTTCTATTCTTGCAGACCAAGTAAATTTCATACTAATTATTTCCTAATATTTAATTATGTTGATGAAACCTTCCTTACTGGGAAGTTCAGAGGAACTCTTCTCATTGCCACTAGCGTTGATGGAAACAGGCGGATTTTCCCGCTTGCATTTGCAATAGTGGAAGGGGAGAACAGCTTAAGTTGGGCATGGTTCTTTGACCAACTACATGAACACGTGACACAGCGGGAGGGTATTACGATTATATCCGATTGACACGCGGGGATTAGGAATGTCGTGGGTGGTTTTCCTGACGAGTGGGGATGGACATGGCGCTGGTGTATTCGACACTGGCTTGCCAATTTCCAACACAAATTTGGAAAGAAGAAAGACATCAAAAATCAATTATGGCATGCAGGTACTAATGTCGTTTAATGCGAGCTAACTATGTGTTTAATAATTTGTTTTTTATCATGTATTGATAATTTTTATATTGTTCACCTTGCAGCGGTTGCACATCAGCCAAAAAAGTACGAGCAGAAGATGAAGACGATCCGTCAGACTCACCGAGCTGGAGCAGTATGGGCTGAAGGTCAAGAGTTGGTGATGACTCGGTATTTGCACATGTTTTCCCCTTTGTTTCTTGATTGTTTGAGCTTGAATTATTGAGTCTTTGGCCTATTTTATGCTAGGTTGTGTTCCTTTGTCCCATTTCAGGTCCTAGCACATAAAGTGAAGCATAGGCGCAAGTTTCAAGTCAATCAGAGATCAATTGACGATTCTAGAGAAGAAACTCAGGCATAACCTGAAGAAGAATGGATTTCTACCTCACTTTATGGACAAATAATCATGCAAGCTTGTTATTAAACGAAAGAGGACGAGACTACGAGCGTCTGGGATCAAACGACGACTGATTCGGAGTCCGGACGAGGGAGAAACGAAGCATTAAACAGAGGCTGAGCAAGCCACACAGGCAGAGCAGAAAATCCACACGGCCGTGCAATGTGAGCTGCACGGCCGTGCGACCCTGGCTAAGAAGCCTGGAATGCAACTAATCGATACGGTGCGTTTTGAATCGCACGGGCAACTGGGTGAGCTGCACGGCCGTGCGGCCTGCCCGTGTGAGTCGGGAATTGCTGTTTAAAACCCGATTTTCAGCCAAAGGAAAGGGGAGAGCTGGGTTTTGGATCCCAAACACCCAAGGGACGAACCAAAGAGAGAAAGGGCGATCTGAGGGCATTCTAAGAGTGGAATTGGAGGATTTCTTCGCCTTGGAAGCTCGAGGAACAAGCCCGGACCTGAAGACTGATCATCTGAAGATTCTTACTGCAGTCTCTTTCTTCTCTATGGAGTAACTTCCCTTCACTTAGGTTTTGAGGAACCCTAGCTATGTTTGTTTGATTGGATGATTGTATGAGTACTCTGACTTGATAATCTTGAGTTCATATTCAATCTATGCTTGTTTTCATGATTCAATTCTGCTTTAGTCGAGATTATTGATTCTGCTTTGATCCTATGAGAGGGAATACCTGATTAGGTCAATAGAGCACCATAGATTGATAGTAGTGGATCGATTGCTTTAGTCGAGGGTTGATTCACTGCTTTGTATCGATTGAGAACCTCTTTCGATAGAGGGAGTCTAGTTCAGAACGCCTTGATCAGTTGTTCTAGAGAAGGATACGTCCCTCTAGGCAATTGACTCAAGAGGGCCTTGTTCCTTTAGTCGAGACTCAAGGTCTAGTCAAGGATTCTCCGCATTGTGAATGAAAGTGAAACAAGTTAGAATCATCAATCGTTAGTCTGGCTAGTGGCTAGGGGGAATCATACCTAAGTGAGTTCCCAA